GTGCATTCTTAAAGCGATGCTACATAATGCAAAATGTCTATCAATTATGATTAGCCTTACTTCCTTTTGATTTATGCTTCTGGATTGTTAAAAAAGTAAGAGGCTCAGGCAGACACAAATATCACATAAACCATTTGAACAATCAGATAAATTGCTAAAAACAGGTTTATCTCCTTGTTATAAATGAGCACAAGTGACTAGAGGCATAAGGAAGTAAAGCAACTCCAGCAGCCCATCAGAAAGTCACAGGCAGAAATAAGATTGTAATTGATTTTGCTGTTAACTCAATACTAAAGAGTAAACAGTCATTAGTGACTGAGTCTAAAATGGCAAATATGTTAACTATTATAAATTTCTTCTAAAATATAACCGACTATTTTAACGTACATTTAAAGCAATTTTGTAAGGAAATGAAGAAGAGTCAATATTTTCGTAGATCAGAATATACTAGCTAGAGTTCTATGACATTGCCTTACCTAATCTTAAAATTATAAGTTTCAGAATATCTTGGAAAGGAGAAGAGGGTGCAAACGTTTGTACTGGAGAAGAATATTCAAGAAGATTATGACGGTCAGAGTCACAGCTGGAGTAAGTTTGAGCAACTTTGTCCTCTTGTGCTCTCTAGTCTAACACAAAAATAAAATGATGGATGTTCATATTAGATTATCATTAAAATACTTTTCTTGCTATTCACGAGCTAACTTTCCACTTGTATCAACTATCAATTTTCTATAATTCGTGGTGAGAAGAAAGGAACATTAATATGGATTATTTCAAATTCCTTTATTTAAAAAAATTTAATCATAAAAATGATTTGCTTTCCTGATTATGTTTAGTGTTACTCAATGTCCAGAGAGGCTATCAGATTATTTACTCTTAAGCAGGAGAAAGTTGGGCTGAGGTTAGAAAAAAAAGTCATGGATAATTTCAGAAAGCGAAGAGATCGCTTACCGAAAATAGAGTGTGTAGTTTATTTCAGTGAGCACTTTCATGAATGTTTGTGCATACAGATACAGCATACTTTCATTAAAGAAAATGCAATCTACAAATATTAGTGCTCTTCAGTCAACTCGTTCAAGCTTCTCTTTCAATGAATTTCAATTCTTTTCTCACACATAACTTCATCCAAATCACTGTCCTTGAAGTGTCCAAGTCATATTAGAAAAGCATAGAATCTGAATTCATGTTAAACCATAGCTTCTTTTTAGAAACACATACCAGAAAGCTCATCTACATTTAAAATATAACTATAATTATCACTATTCTAGTCACTTTTAAAAGAATTGCAAAATGCTACTGCATTGCATTCAAATTAAATTCATCTGCCCATCTCAAAAAGACAAAAAAAGAAGAATAAAAGAAGCAATTGCAAACACAGATTCAAAGGTTTTTCATTCACACAGAAAAATATGTGAATTGCAAAGCTTGATTTTTTAGTAGTTTGGGTTTTTAAAATTTGTTTTGAAGGTGGCCCATAAAAGTCAACACCTCAAACTTCAGAGATAGTATCGAGAAATGGCATACTTCATCAAAATGTATTTATTCACATGATGTTGAAGATTTTGTTTGAAATTCCTTTTAATTTAGAACATCTGAAACAGTCTCCTTAGAAATTGGCATATATATTAAAATGCATAAATATTTGTATATTATGTAAATATATTAGTAACAGCCCTGAAACTTAATTTAGCCTGTATACAAATATAGTACATACATGCAGTACTTATTAGCAATAGCTGCAATTGAAAAGGCAAATTAAAACATTGATGCAAATAATTCAGCAGTTCATTTTTTGCCAATTCTGTATCAATCTTCTGAATACTGTCACTCTCAATTTCCTATGTCAGTTTCCTTTACAACTCATACGGTGTATTTGAAAGCAAACCTAAACTGAGAAATGTAACACCTCTGGAGAACAGTGGATTTTCTCTCTCTAAGTCTTTTCTAAAATTCAAAGGCACATTTTCCAGAAGTGATATTACAAATAATCCATCTTGCCTATGGAACAAGTAGAATTCCTGTAAATAAGAATATTTATCTTTACATGAAATCAGGCAACTTGCAATAAAACTTTAGAGCTCATATAAGTCTCTTTTTCACTTTTGTGGATTAATTAATTTTCTAAATTTATTCAAGAATTTCTTCTGCAGTGGCAAAATTTCATTCTCTATCACGAAAAATTAAAATAGGCTATTTTCAATTTCCATTTAAGAGAAAGAACACCAAGGACTAAGTTTCCAATCTGCCTACTTGAAGCTGCATCCTAGAGCTTCTTCCTCCTGTATCCCTGAAGGAAATCTATTACAACATCATTTGTCAAGTATAAAGGGAGTTGGGGGAAATCAAACTTGTTAGGTTTTAGGATGATACTATATGGTTAGCTAATTAGATTAGTTGACACTTTAATTCCAATATTTTCAATCATATTTTACTATTGTGATGCCTAAAACTTTAGCTCAGCTACATTTCTATTCTAGAGTTTTTCTCTACAAAAGGAAATGACATCTTCCCTGTAATAGCTTTTCTAATTTCCATTTCATTTATGAAAATAATAATACTAAGAATGTTGGTAACCACATAACTATAGAATAAAAAAGATAAAGAGACTCGTAAGTATCCAAAGAATTATTCTTTTTACTTCAAAGAGAAAATGTGTTACTATTTGTTTCTTCATAACAGTACATACTTTAGATCATTCATTAAACAGGAATATACAAAATAAAATTTTCCCATTTGCCAGCTATCCGCCTGCTATTCAGCCCAATATTTTATTTTGTTTTACCTTTATCTTGAATATGTTAACACTTTTTTCACAAGCTTAATGTCAAATTTTAACAATCTAGGATTCCAGTTCAGTAAATATAATAAAAGACATTCCACAGAACTGGTATGTTATAAAAGGCATATCAGAAATTCAACCCATTTGTGAAATAAATAAATAAATAAACAAATAAATAAATAAATAAATAAATTCTCAATATAAGGCGATGTAAGTAGACTTCCAAACTCTTCAAGAAGCATGATTAAGTAGCTATTTGGAGAGGGAGCCACATAAAAACATATTGTATACTGATTTATATACAGATACAGTATCAAAACATAAAGAAGCAGCTAGGTTGTGGGTGCATCCCTCAGTCTCCCCTGTGTAACGCCACGGCTAATGAAAAGACGGTGTAACTGATCTTCTGACAGAGGAACATCAGGTGTGTGGGCCCAATTGTGGGACAGAAACAAAAAGCACTTTACAAAAATTCCCAGAAAAAAACATAGATTAGAATGGAAAGGAACCTCAATACTATTGAGTCCTTCCCTGTGTCCTTGGGAGAACTACATATTAAGCTTTCTTCAACTGGGAACATGAAATTTGAAGTCAGTAGCATTAGAGAAGTCATAATTTGGATTGAGAGCACCCATTCTTTCTAATCCCTGTTTCATCTTACGACACACTTCTAAGAAACGGTTAGGTCCATTGCTATTGGTAATCCTAGGGTGTCTCCCAGGAGAGGAAAAACGAATGAAAGTGGTCACATAAGTGTGTAGGCATGTGCACGTGTGTGAGCATGGGCAACGGTTATGTTTGTGTATACGTATATGTACTTTCTTATTTTTCCTGAGACCTTAAAAAAGAAATCTGATTGCTGATTTTGTAATTCCTTGAAAGGATAGCTGAAAAGGTAGACATTTCAAAGCTCTGGGAAGAGTTCTGGAACTGCAAAACTAGCAAAACTGCAAAATTGTCCCCGTGAGAGGGCAGTAGTCCCCGGGCCTGAGTTTTGTCTCTCTGTCCATCCCAGACTGGCTTGGCCCTCTCTGTCAACCTTCACCCTGCTGGCTGCGCTGTGGACAGGGGCGGCGGAGCACACCGATAGCGCGCAGAACCGCAGCATCAGTCGGCTCCAAGGAAACTCAGATCTTTGGGGCGTGGGCCGCCGCCAGGGGTTGACACTTATGCTGTGCGAGGTGCGTGTGCCATTGGCAAACTGGCTTTCTCAGTTTTGGCTTCCCACAAAAGGAGCGGAAGGGGGAGCTGTCGTGATTCCCAGTGCCCACAGAGCCCCCTCTCCTGGCCACTGCGCGCCAGCCACAGCTGGTACCGAGTGTGCTCGCTAGTCTCTGTGCGTGTCTATTTGTATAACTATCTGCAAGTGGCTTTCAATTTAACTGTCTGTGTGACAGAGACAGAGGCGCCTGCGGAAAGTTCCCTCTCTCAAAAACGCCTTCAATGTTCTGCTCTATCGCTGGCGCCTGCGACGCTGTCATTGCCATCTCATCATTTTGCTTCCTTCCGGGTGATTTATGTACAATTATGCATGAGTGAGAAATGCGTGTCTACTGGAGTTGTTTTGTCTGTGACCTTACTTCTTTGAAGAGAGAAAGTGATTGGGAGGGAAGGAGAACCTGAAAAGGACTAATTTCCCCTCCGGAGTGTAAAATATAATGGTTAAACGCCCAATATCTCAATGTCTAGACTGAAATCCCGCTCTGCCACTTATACTAGCTGTGTGCCTTGGGCAAATCGTTAATCAATCTGTGCCTCAATTACTTCATTAGCAGAATAGGAAAGCAACAGCATTTAGCTCGCAAAGCTGTGAAGATTAAATGAGTGAATATGTAAAACGCTTAGAACTGTGCCTGGCATGTTAATAGGTGCTATAGGTTAAATGCTATTAACATCTTCGTCAGTTGATCACAGTGTTAAATGGAAGGACCATCCTGACCACTTTCTCCACAGGAAAGCACTAGATCTTGATACGTGCCCACGCCCCAATGCAAAGGTGAGACCGAATCCTAACCCGTTCACTCCGTGCAGTGCAGGACCAGCAGCCACCCAGACACCCCCCATCCACGCAGACCCTGTTTGGGGAATCCCTCCCCAGCAGTCTGTTCTCTATACCTGGGACCATGCTCCGAATTTTTGGGGATGCAATGGCAAACTGCTAGCCCAAGAGAGCTGGCCCCTGCCTCTCCTGTCTGAAGAGTGTGTTTGAGGGTTTTCCTACCTGCCCCAGGTTTTTGCCCTTCTTACTGCCGCCGAATGCCAGTCCTTGGTATATGCCCGCAGATCGATTGGAGGCCTGAGCAGGCGTCTCCCCGCCCAGAGAGGACTTGATGGAGTTGAGTTTGGCCCGCGAACTGCCGATCTGTGAGCTCTCCACCATCAGCACCGCGGCCAGTAGGAGCAGGCAGCGGGACGAATCCTTGCACCGCATCAACGCGGCCATCTCCAGGCGAAGGGTTCCCCAGGAAGACTCAAAGCCCGAAGGGGTGGGAATGCAAGGGGAGGCAGGACCCCAACACGGGGCCCCTCACTTGGGTCGCGGGGGCTTGCAGATTGTGTTCCCTCAACCGTTCCTGGTTCGGGGACCCAGGACCCTGTGAACTCAGTCTCACGCCTCAGGACAGAAATTAGCGGAACCCAAGCGAGACCAGCTTCTCCACCAGGGCAGGAAGTTCTGCAATAACTGGAAGCAATCAAAGGCTAGGCGCTTTGTCGCCAAGGAGGCGTGACCCAAGGTGCAAGAAAAGCCAGCCCTGTGGATCGCACCGCTTCGGTTGCTTCTTGCCCCGCACCTCCCTGGTCCCGCCGGGATCTCGGCGGTTTAATTCTCCTTTTAATTGATCAGGAGGCCCGCACCAGTTCCTTCTCCTTCGGACTCAGTTGCTTTTCTCTCCTCTCTTTTCCTATCCTTTATGTGTCAAACTTTGCAGGACACAATGCTCCTTTTCAAAGTTAGCAGGCGCTATAGTAGGGGATCAGGAGATGTCCCCGGATCGAATCCTCGAGATCTGAAGAGAACCGAGGTCCCCCACACGCGCACTCACAGTTGCCCCGAAGCGTAGTCCCTTGACTCACAAGAGACAGAAAACCGCTGCCAGCGCAGCGACGCCAGGCGAGCGGACTTGCGCTACGCTCGCCGCGGGCTCCCGCTCGCTCTCTCTGCTCTCTCCCCCTCCCTCTTTGCTTTTTATAGCTTCCCACAGTGAGTTTTTTTTTCTTTTTTTTTTTTTTTTTTACCTCCGCCCCCAATTCAAGAGTGACGAAGAGTGAAAACTTTTCTCTCACCCCCCACCGCTTCCTCCCCCCCTCCTTTCCGCGTGCTGCTTCTCCTTCTGCGGCTTCCACTCCAGCTTTTCCTCCTCATCCTCCCGCTCTGTCTCCACCCCACAACTGCTGGAAAAGGGGGATATAGCTTTTCCATGGGGTGAGTGGAACACAGGGGCTCCTAATTCCTGCCAACAACTCCAGGGGTTGGAGGGGTCTTTGGAAACAGGCGGAGGGCAAAGGTGGAAACCAAGAGGGGCAAGCTGCCACCACGTGATCGCCGCCACCCTTCCTTAGATCTTCCCACCCTTCTTCAGCCCCTGACTCTGCGGGGAGAGCTGGAAAAACCCTATGGAAGCTTTAGAAAAGTGAGCATCTGCGCAACTGCTCATTAGAATTGTATTCTTTGTGCGCTCACGTTTGGTTTTAGCCTGTTCCTCCCAGGGAGTGTGTGAAGCTGGAGTCGTATAGGTGCGCCTGGGGGTGGCCAATGATCCGGATAGAGGATCTGGAAGGAAAGGGGCAAACCAAAGAGAGGAAAAGATGAGCCTGTTCGATTTGGGTATTTTTAGTCTCCTTCTGAACCCGGGCCCCGCCGCACACGTAGCATATGTCTATGTCTCTGAGGGACTGGGAAGAAGGGGGTGCTCTGGGTACGCTCCGAGAGTTTGGAACTCACAGCTCGATTGAGCATCTTTACCATGCCAGGCAACTGCTCTTTTTGCGAAAAGAAAATCCCAGATAGGAACGAACGGGGGCAGGGAGACTCTGAGATCCTGTCTCCCTTGGCTTCCTGCCTTCTAACCCCTGGAAATTACAAGAGAAGTCATTCCTGTCAGCCCCCGGGGCTCTCCAGGTCCAATTCCCTTCGGTTGAAGGTCGAAGGCGGCTCCGGGAACTACTGGGACGCGCTGGCGCTTGGGGGCGCCAGTGGCAGCCGTTCAGCTAGCCACGGAAGTGCTGCAGGAGACAAGCGCGGAGTTCGGAGATGTCTGGTGACCAAGTGCGAGACTTCCCAAGCACAGCAAGGGATTGTTCGAAAGTTGTTGCATTTCTCTTTCGCAGACACTAACGTTCAGGAGCAGAGAAATCCAAGCATTGAGCCACAACTTGAAGTTAGAAGGCTGCTGGCCGCCAGGGGAGGATACTAGCAGCATCCTCTTCAGAATTTTTGGACCTAGATTTCACAGCTTTCACACCTGATCCTGGCGCATGTCCATGAGTAGGAATTAAACTTGTCGCTAAGTGAGAATGTTAGTGACTCTTATTTTCCCCAAAACAACGCAGAGTTCTAAAGTGTGGATTTAGAGCTATTTTCTCCCAGACAGCTCCAGTTTTGCAAATTTCTCAGTCCTGACCTATGAATCTGTCTGCCCTGAAATTCTTCATTTTCAGAATTTTTTTTTAATACACAAGCAAATGGGGATTAAAATTTGCACCCTCTGGCATGTGTTCTTATCTTTTGAATTTCCTTTCTTTAAGATAGAGATTTTTTCACATTTTAGTGTGTGGGTTCCCCCCCCCACCCCGCTTTAAAAATATGCCGCGAATAACAATATGGATGACCCTTGAAGGACATCATACGATCAATCACAGAAAGACAAATCCACTTATAGGAGTTACCTAAAATAGTTAAATGCATAGAATCAAAGGTTAGAATGGTGGATACCAGGGATTGGAAGGAGAGGAGAATGGGGAGTTACTATATCAATGATCACAAAGTTTCAGTTAATCAAGATGAATAAACTCTTGAGATTTGCCATATGGTATTGTACCTGTAGCCAACAATAATGCATTGTACTTTTAAAAACTTATTGAGAAGGTAGATCTCATGCTATATAGACATAAACTTTATATGTGTGTGACATTATATACATGTACAATGTATATATGTATTTATATATATACACACGCATGTAATATTATTGTAGTAAGAACATTTAACATCTATATATGACCAGTAATAAATCTGTAAGTTTATAAAGTTAAGTGAGGCATTTTAGGCACTAATAAAAGGCAAGGAGAGGGGTCCTTACACTATAAATAAATTACTTAGGATTTCGAGCTTAGATTTTACGGAAGAGTATATCTTTTGCCTTCATTCTGGGTTTGCCAATCAGAAAGCATGACAGAAATTGAGAAAATTAACTTAGGAATCTACTGGTTTAAATATTTCTGAAAAGTAGCTTAGAGCAAAAGGAAAAGATAAAAGCTAAACATGTAGGCAACAGATCGCTCTACATTCACTTGGAAGGGTGTAGACTTTGACCATACGTTGAAGAACAAACACAAATGAACCATGAGAAAATGTGAAGATGCTTTGCCTGTTTCTGTCACTTCCTTCTTTCTTTACTTCTAAATAAAATAATATCCCACATACACAGGCCTAACTTTACTCATATGTACTGTTAAACAGAAAAGAAATATCAAGCACAACACATTTACTCTCAGTTCTGAGTACCAACCTAAAGACATTATCTCAGGGGCTCATTCAACACCCCACAAGTTCCAACAGCAATTTTTTTACAAATACAGTTAAATTGAAAGTCGGCATAAAATCTACTCACACAAACATTCTTCCATATAGAACAAAATCAGACATATAGAATCAAAAGCTAAAATACACACAATTATGCCTTAGGCTAAAAATGAGTCAAAAACTAATTCATTCATGACACAAATGCTTTCTGTAAATTTTTTTGACAGTCAGAAACAAACATACATGACCCATATGTTGACAAGTAGATATGCATACACAAAATCAACTAACTGTAAATAAACATAATCCTTTGGATTACTGTCATAGCACCACATGTGTTTTTCCCTTGTGTGTTTTCCTAAGTATAAAGACAAAAGCTTCATATCTTACTTGGGAAAGGAGATTTTTATGCCATTTGCAATAACATAACTAAAGAGTAGATATTTAAAAAGAAGACTGTACAAAAGCAGGATGTACAACCCCCCTGTCCAGAAGAAAGTACCTTAATGGACATTTTTTCCTTTGGCCATACATTCCCTCTTATCTTTACTCCTCTAGCTGTGGGGCCATTTTCGTTCCACAGAAAAGCCACTACTTTCTCAGAAGTTGTTTCTGGATCCTGGATTCCTTCTGAATACTTAGTCCCAAAGGTAAGTTAAGTATATAACTTGTCACCTTAGTCTTGTTTACTGCAGCTTACTAATTTTCATCCCATTAGCTCTCTCCCTGCATTAGAGAATACTTTCTACAATAGCCTTTTTATCAGTTGTTCATGAATTCCCCATACAGAAGCAGGTATGGGGCCCTGAGGACACAGTGGTGAATGAGTGGGGGCCTTCCATCTAAAGGGGCTTGGAGCTCTGTAGACACCTTGATTTACTAAAATCTGCTTCTAGCCCCTCTCAGAAGTTGCTGCTGTGAGTCTTTCTCTATTCTCAGCTGCTGCTGAATTATGCCAGTCTCCGAGTTCAATCTGTTACAAGACATCTGCAACTCGAATTCAAGCCAAGCTGGCTTGAATTCATGTGACTTTGGGAATACAAATGATCAAATATGTCCCCCAGAGTTCTTTTTTTTTCCTTCAGAATTTATATGCACATTTTAATGGTGTTCAGAGAGACAATACTCCTACATTTGTTGTTGAACCCAAAGAAATGACCCTCGTGATGGTAATGTTAGGTAAGTAAGAACAGAATAGCAAACCTGGGAAGTAAGATTCTCTTTGGTAGGTCCCACAGTACCCCAAATTATCTTGCACACACAGAATAGACATGAAAATCTTTAATGTGTTGTTGGACCTTGATAGATGTTAAGGATCTGAAAAATAAGATTATGTGGGTTTTCCCTATCCATAGTAAACCAAGCTACCTGGCTCTGTAGCCTAGTAATACTCATACTTTGAGAGTTTTATGTTTCTCCTCTGCCTAAGAACAACAGTCTCTTGTGTTGCTGCAAATTAATTTTAAATACCTGGTAACAAACATAAGCTTGCATTGATATTGTGAAAACTTTTTGTGTTTCTTGATGGGAATAATTTTCATATCAGATACGAAAAAACTGCATCTCCTATTTGATTCCTGCATTAATTTCAGTTGTTGATGCAATCTTGACAAGGTCTCATGGACAGCAGGACCAGCTAATAAAAAAGATCTCATCACCTACATTTGAATCACTAGCTATGCTTGACACAAACATGCGCAAGTGAAATGGGTCTGAAGATTTCACAGTAAATCAATCTGAAACACTTGCTCAGCCAACAGCTTCTTTTTTGAACCTTAACAAGTTAGTCATCTTATCCATACTTTAGCTGCCACTTAAATGAAAGAGGATTACTGAACAGATATTTCCCCTTGAGCCTGAACCCAAACAATAAAAAAATGCAAATAACATAATCTGAAACTCAGGCAGATAAAGACTTCTACTGAGCCTTGTGCATGTATGTGACCATAGATGGAGGTGGAATTAGAAAAAAATCATCAAATGTTTAATAAGAAACATTTTCCTTTATGATATAAAATTTTTGTTAGTTCTATACAATGCATATCCTTTTTGGTATGTTCTCACTGCTGAGTTCTGGCAGGTTTTTTCAAGATTCATCTTTTGAAACAGTACTAAAGTACCAAGTAATACTTGGCAGTGAACGCATCATATGTTTAATTCTTGAGTGAGGTTAAATTCCAAAGAATCTCATCCTGATGAGCAACAAAACAAACAACATTTACATAATCTGGACCAGGGATTTTCAGATTCTGTTCCTTTTGGCTCACTAGGGTCCTGCTGAGGTCTCAAAGTAAGTTGAGAACTGTGCTTTTTTTTTTTTTTTTTACAAGATTTCAGAGGAGAGGGATCCAGCTCTTGGATCAAAGTTAACTTTTAAGTGCCTGTTTTTGTTATTGTTTTTATTTGGGAAAGGATTGTGTTTGTTGTTTGGTTGGTTTTAATCAACTGTTAACTGATCCAATTT